GTACAGCAATTAACCACTAGGAAGAATGTATGCAATGTGTTAATTATTGAAACTGTCCTACCAATTTGGTTTGAAACTGTCTCATTGCTATTTGTTTCTTAATAAAATTATGGAAAAAAACAACAAAGAGAGAGAAAGAAGAAAAAATTAGGAAACAAGGTAGGGGCAAAATCACACATGTATGTATACAAGTTGGATAAAGCAATAATCCTAAGAATTTCTGTCAGGTTTTTGAAAATAGCAGTTAATGGGTAGAATTCTCACCCTGACCAACTCTCCATGTTGATATCTGTGAACTCAGCAACTACACTGAGGACAGCTATGTGTAATACTAAAACCATGCTTGAAATACCTATCATCTTGATCTTCTAAATGTGTACCATTTCTAACATTATATCAATTATTACTATACTCTTCAAAGAAAATTTTTTAAAAAAGTAGTAAAAGAAAATGAGAATTAAGAACAAAAATTTAAGATTTTTTGAAAGCATGTGGAAATATTCAATCATATGTCCCATCTTGCATAATTATATCTGTTAATCAGAGCAACAGATTTGATGATATAAATAGAAAATATATCAATCACTGTTAATCAGCAATTCTTGTTTTGAAAATCTGTAATGTATGTTTTGTTACATGTTACCCTGTTTCTGTCTTTGCTTTTGTTTTTCTTGTTCTTGTTTTTACTCTTTAAAATAAAAGAAAATTATAATAAAAAAGAAAAAGAAAAAAAAATGGTGCTGGAAAAACTGGCTATCTGCATGCCAAACATTGAACCTAGACCCCCCATTATTTCTCACCATAAACTAGACTACAACCAAAGTGGATCAAAGATCTAGATATTAAAAGACACATTTAATCTTTTAGAAAAAAAAACAGGTAAACTCTTGCAGACAGGTATAGCCAAAGAACCCTAGCTGCACAAGAAATAATACTAAGAATCAATGGGATATCAATTTAAAAAGTTTCCGCACAGCAAAGGAAACCACCAATAGTGAGAAGGAACACCCATAGAATGAGAAAACAATTTTGCTAGCTACTGCTCAAAGGACTAACATTTAAAATATACAGCACTAAAACTAATTAGGCTGCCTAAATTTAAAGACCTAATCCAAAAAGAGGTATTTGAAATGAATCGATACTTCTCAGATAAAGAAGTACAAATGGTCAATACATGAAAAAATGTTCAATGACACTGGTCTTTTGAGAAATGCACATTAAAACAACACTGAGATTCCATCACACTCTAAAAAGAACACTATCACTGGTGAGGCTTTGGGGAAAAAAGAACCTTTCTCCACTGCAGTGGGAGTGTAAACTGGTACAACTACTATGCAAACCAGCAAAGAGACACCTCAAAAAACTAAAACTAGAAGTTTTGACCTAGCTGCTCCTCCTCTAGGCATCTCCCAGAAAGAGTTTAAAAGCATCGTACCACAGTGGTATTTGCATACCCATTTTTATAGCAGCATTATTAATAGCTAAATCTTGAAAACAAGTCATATGAAGAGGGACTACACTAGAAATCAAACTCAAATCCTTTCAAGGATCCCATGAATACACAAATCACAAATCAACAAAGCTGCTACAGGTAAAGCTGTGAAAGTGGTAGGAAGTGGTAATAAATGAGAAAATACATAACTCTCCCACAGCATTCACAAACAAAGCCATTAACAATGTGTTGGGCAAACAAAATGTTAGCTCAAGATGTTGGTCCTAGATCTACCAACCTGCTATTCTGAAGAAATTTTTCAGAGCTGGAATAGAGATAAGAATGTAACTAGATAAGAGGATGAGGGAATGAAGGGAGTTTAGAAACAGAAATAATTTATTTCATAATTGTCTAACTTGTTAACTGAATAGATAATTTTCAAGTGCCACCATTGGAAAAATACTCCTTGCTTCAGCAGTTAGTACATTCCAGTACCTGAAGCCACACTTAATATTTAGAACTTGAGTTTTTGTTTTGCTTTTTTAGGACATTACAGGTTGTACTTACCCAGTATTCCTATACTTTAATTGTATTCTTGTAGACTGATGGAAAGTAACAGATACAAGATTTACAGAATTAGAGCAAGGTTAACAAAAGCATATTCACCTCAGTTTCTGATTTCATCTGCTGCCATATCAAGTGATAAGTTTCAAATCGAAGTTTACTGTCTTCAGATTCATTTTTCCCTTTATTAAAATATTCCTCTAAAAACACAGAAAGAAGTCAGTTTTTTTTTCTTAGTAAAAGCTAGAAACTGTGTGCAAAGGCACAAAAGAAGTAATGGGAGTTGAATATTTTTCTGTTCATCAAAAAACATAATATTCCACAATCTTTGTGTTTGATTTTGTTAGTTTTGACCATATTAAACATTTTAAAATTTAAAATTTCTTAAATTTTAGATTTCATTTCTGTCCTTTACTTTTGAATTTCTAGCAATTTGTATTTAATGGCTTTTGAGTTTAAGTATGTACATATTTCGGTTAGTTGCTTTATCCTATGGTCTCATATGCTACTACATATATATATATATATATATATGCCTTCAATTCTTATCAAATGATTCTTTGTACTTACATTATTGTTCCATTGCCATAGTTGTCTTATTTACCCTATATTATTTTCTACACTATTTTGAATGTTTTCTCCAAATGTCCTCTGGTAACACATCTTTCATTTACAATGGCTTGCGAACTTTTAAACCATGATTCACATTAAAGAACACATTTTACATCATGATCTAACATATATACACATAATAAAAAGTTACACAGGGATAATCCTACTCTTTAAGTGACAGCAAATGTTTTGTTTCATGACCCTCTCAAAGACTAATCCATATTCTCCTCCACTGATTGGAGATGCTTTTTCAGTCCAAATACTGACGTGCACTTGGACCTTTTTTTTGAGACAAAGTCTCACTTTTTAGTTCAGGAGGGTCTTGAAATCACTACATTGCAAAGGCACACGATGCTCAAACTCACAGTAATTTCTTGCCATGGCCTCTGAGTGCTGGGATTACAGTTATGCAAAACTATATTCTGCCAACTTGGAACTATTTTTGAACCATAAATTCTGTTCTACTAAATTCAATTCTATGCTCATATCAATCCGGGCTTGTTTAAATTACTGTAGCTTTCATACAAGAAGTGACCAAATTTTAACAATTAATTAATTAATTAATTAATTTAGTACAGCACCTCACTACATAGCTTGGACTTGTAGTGATCCTCCTGTCTCAGCCTCCCCAGTGCTGGGACTACTGGCATGTGACACCTATACGCATGCGACACCCCATTTGAAGTGACCAAATTTTAAGTGTATTTCAGTAAAAGATGCATTGTTAAGAATGATGGATAACTATGTTTGAAGCCAAGTAAGTATATTTGTCACTATTTGGACTACTAGGAAGAGAATTAATAGTGATGTCTTTTACTTAATGCATTTTTAAAAATTTAAGCATTCAAAGTATTTTTTCATCACCCCTGCTGATCAAGCACTTATGGCAATTTCTGTCACATGCAAACACTGATGTTTATCTTCATCCACCTTATTCACCATGTTGCTTCTGGTTCTTCCTCAAAGTCAAGATAACCATGAAAGGTAAACATCTGTAATTGAGTCAAGGCACTGAGGCAGTATAATAATGCAACTAAAGATACTCATAAAGAGCCAAGTTACAAAATTCAAATGCAAGTGAACAAAAACAGGAGACAAAATATTACTAATAGACAAAGCAAAGCAATGAAGTAGACATAAATGGAACAAAATATCACTTTATATTGATAATGGGCAGAATCAAATTTAAAATGTTAAGTGTCAATCAAGATGAAATCGTTAATGTGCTGAATAATGCTATACCAAAACACTACTGAAAACCTCTTAGAAACTGAGAACAATGACAGTAAGACATTATCCTGTTACTGTGACTCTCTCAGTCCTTTACCAGTCAGGCCGGTAAGAAATCAGCAGGCATTGAGAGGAGCTAACGAAAGTGCACTCGCTGCTGTGAGCGTGCCTCCTGCGTGCCCTCGGGCCCCAATTCAGCGTGGCCTGGCCTACAATGCCAGTACAACACAGTGCCAGCCCTTCTCCCTACTTCATGCCCAGTTGTCGTGTTGGTTGTGCAGTCATTTACAGAATACTGAGGACAGGGAGGGTTAATTCTCCTCGTAGGAACATCCGCAAGCATCTTTAAGTCAGGGGACAGATGGCAGGCAAAGTGCAGAGCATCTAATCTGTTTCATGAATTGAAGCCAGTGAAGGCAAATGCCACATAGTAGATGTTTTCCTCATTCCTATTCCATCTGTTGTATAATCATGGTCAATTTCTCCAAGAGTTCCATTATAATATTACCTACTGGTGTTAGATCAGCACACACACTTAAAACATAACAAAATTCTAAAGCAAAATTCTAATTATATACCATTAGGTTTACCAATACTAAAAACTATAAACAAATCTGAATACATTATAGCCAAAATTCAACATAAAAAGTTTTAAGCAAATATAAGGACTGGTGCTAAGTAGCAGTCAGACCTTGGGTCTGAACTCAGACACGTTCTGCTCAAAGCCTAGCTCTTGTCACTTTCAGTTTTATGAAACTGAGAAAGTGCTGTTTGAACACCCTTTTTTGTTTTGAGTCAGGGTTTTGTTGCTTAGGCTAGCCTTGATCTTGCAAATCTTTCCACCCCAGCCTCCACAGAGGTGCTATCTATCATCTCTGACTCTCTCATGTATTTTAATGGGTACAATAAAAATATCCTTGGGGCTGGGGAAATAGCTCAGTAGAATAAGTGCTTGCCTAGCAAGTGCAAGGGCCAGAGTTCAATCCCCGGTTCTGCCAAAATAAATTAATTATAATTAAAAATAAAAATATCCTTGTGGGGCTAGAGAAATAGCTCAGCAGTCTAAGTGCCTGCCTGGCAAGCACAAGGACCCAGGTTCAGTCCCTTGTACTGCACGTGTGCTAGCCCCATACCGTGGCGGCCACCAAAACCATGTGTGGTAGCACATGCCTCTAATCGCAGTGCTGAGGAGGCTGAGATAGGAGGATCACTATGGGTCTGAGCTGTGCAGTGAGACCTTGTACCAAATTAATTAATTAAAAAATTTCAATATAAGATTAAACAAATTAACACTTTACATAAAAATACTTAGACGAGTCCAGTACACAATAAATGTTCAAAAATACTACCAATATTCATTATAATTATATTGTTAATATATCCAATGCCACTGCATGTTATGTGACTCTCACAAATAATCAAAAAATGAGACTTAAAATTTTCTCTGAATTATTTCTGTTGAGCCCCCTTCTTCTGCCATTTTGGAGGTTTTTGAGACAGAGACTTGCTGGTAATTCAAACTCTCTGCGGTCCCAAAGGCCTCAGCCTCCTGAGTGCTGGGATTACCACCATCTGCCACCATTCTAGCTCTTTGAACTATTTCTAACAAATCTGGAAATTCCCAACACTAGAGAAAGTTGCTTATAAGTCAATCACATAATTTAAAAGTCATCCTTTGCTCAATTTTCCAAGCCAATAAACATTACGATACTTTTTCTAGAGGAAGGTAAGGAACTGAGAAAATGTTGTTTTCTTCTTTCTTGACACAGGATCTTGCTATGTAATGTAGGCTAGTCTTGAACTCAAGTCATGGCTCCTGCCTCAGTCTCCCAAGGGCTGGGATCACAGGTGTGCACCCACATGCTGGGCCTCAAATTTCTTTCAGACTAAGTCTATAACAGTATAAAGCTCTAGATCATTGTCCATTTCTGTTAGTGGAAAAGTGTATTCCTACTATAAACTGTACTTTTTACCCTCTCTCTCTATTAGCAGAAAAGTGTATTCATACTATAAACTGTACTTTTTACCCTCTCTCTCAATAAGATTATTTTATTATTTTTTTCTCTCTCTTTTTTTTTATGGTGGAACTGGGGATTGAAGTCAGGCCCTTGCACTTGGCAGAGAAGTGTTTATTCCACTAAGCCATCTCCCCGGCCCCTATTATTTTCTCTTTGAAGGCTCTTGTCTAGCTAGTAGTCTTATACTGAGGGATTAAGTAATGTGATTATTCAGAAAAATTCTATGTATTCAAATTGTTTACTTCCTTCATAAAACTGTGCTATTCAAAAGCAATATATAAATCTGCTTAATTCCACAGCCTAATTTTTCTACTGGGATGATTGCATCAATGTCAGCATCCTAGCTATAAAACTGTACCGTAGTTATTTAAAATACTACCACTAGAGGCCGGGGAGATGGCTAAGTGGAATAAGCGCTTCTCTGGCAAGCGTAAGGGCCTGAGTTCAATCCCCAGTTCTGCAAAAAATAAATAAATAAATAAATAAATAAATAAAATAAAATACTACCACTAGCAAAACACCTTCATGAAGGGAACAGGAGAATGAATCTCTTGCTGCTACATGTAAATCTACAGTTTTATCAAGATGAGTAGCTTATCAAAAGTTCCCGAAGTGATTAAATGTATAGGGACAATTAAAATCTATGATAAACACTTTCTGACAAATATTAACACAATTTGTTTGAAGAAATAAAGTCATCTTAACTTGATCACTACACAGGTATCTAGAGATAAATGAAAAAAGACAGTTTTAATATTTTAATTTTGTTCATATATAATGTACAAATAATATAATACATCCATTTTAACAGCTTGATATGTTCTGATACAAGTACATCCTCACATATTGACCCCTCAAGATAGAGAACATTTCCATCACCACCAGAAGTTTCCTTTTGTCCTTTTGTAATCAACTCCCCCTACTTCACCCCAGGAAGCTACTGAGACTTCTAAGAAAATCTGTTGAATTTAAAAAACAAAAAAATCAGGGTCTGCTCTTAGCCATCTGAGTGGCTGATTGAATGATTAAATTTGCTCTTAATGATTATGTGGATCAATGAGTGATTAAAACCCATTCCCCTCATAATCTATAAATTTCTTTGTTTTGATAAAGAGCAAGAACAGTGTTAAACCTCTGTGTGCATGACAGCATAAAAAAAACAAACCGGTGGGAAGGGAGTAAAGATTAAAAGGTAGTGAATCTAGGCCATAGGAAAATAGTTAGCAGATCTGAGAGCAGAATGTTTTTGTTTGTTTTAATGTATGTAGTGCCGTCTACAGGGTCACTACACAGATCCGGCTCATAGTGATCCTCCTGTTTTTAGCCCCCCAAGTGCTGGGATTACAGGTGTGTACCACCACACCCTGTTTAGTCTCAGGCGGGGTGAGGCAGGCAAGGCCATATGACCTAACAGAATGTGTTTTACTGCTCATTCTTGGCTTCTCCTCCTTTCCCTCAGGCTACCAAGAAACAGGAATACCTGAACAAGAACCACAAGGTTGAGGTAGTCTATGATAGCACAAGGTATTCATTAGACACACCAAGTTCTACATGTTACCTCTTAGAGACATGGAATAAGGTTTTAACAAGACAGTCCCATCTCTCCTTCATAGAAGAAGAGACCTAGGGAAAGGTTGAACAGTAGGGCTAAGGCCACAGAACTAATTAGGGTCGGGATCACTTTCCTTGTTTAATTAGTTCTAGTCCAGATGATTCCCTAACTGTGTGCTTCCACAACCTGGGAGAATTACTATAATAGATTCAGTTAGATGGGGTAGGTAATGTATGCCTGTAACCCCAGCCACGTGGGAGGCTGAGGAAGGAAGAACCCAAATTTGAACCCAGCCTGGGCAAGTTAGCAAGACCCTGTCTCTAAATACAATAAAAGGATTATAGCTGTAGCCCAGTGGTAGAGTGCTTGCCTAGCATGTACAAGACCCTGAGTTTGATCACTACCAAGAGAAAGAGAGAGAGACAGAAAGACAGAGACAGAGGAGAAAAAACGAAAGGAGAAGAGAGGAAAGGAGAGGAGAGGAGAGGTCCACAACTTTGTACTTTTTTACACAACACTGATTCCTAAATTGGAATATGTGACATCCTATATAACATTCATGTAGTTAATAAAACCATTATTTGTTCCATATGATGATATTTTTTCTTGCCAAGTTTATTCATAAAATGGGGTGCTACACTAAAATTTTAAGCATGTCCTAATTTCCTCATAAACATATTTATTCCACAAATAATTTTTACACAATTTTCACTGGAAAATATATCCACATCTGTAGTCCGTCTTGTAATTTTTCCACATATTACTAGACATTTCATTATCTCTCTATATTACTACCATTGGTAGAAATCGGTATTACTAAATAGCATTTTTTAACAAAACAGCAATTGTTTTGATTCTTTGATCAGGCATCAATACACTTTTCTAGTACAGAAACTGATTTTTTTTTTTTTTTTTTTTTTGGTGGTACCAGGGATCGAACTCAAGACCTTGCACTTGCCAAGCAAGCACTTATTCCACTAAACTATCTCCCCAGCTGCTTTTCTAGTACAAAATGACTTTTACTTCTAAAGTAGATAAAGGCAGATAAGCCACCAAAATAAACTTACTTTCCAATATGCCTTTTAAAGATATGTCTATATTCCCTTTGAGAACATAACCCTGGTGTACCTTTATTCTCTGACCAGTGCTTTGGAATGTAATTTTTACATCATCGTGGTAAACAAGCCAGGTTAAAATTAGTTTTTAAAGTTTAAGAAGACAGAGAGGAACAAAAAATAACAAATTTGATGTTGGGACAGCTTACCTATTGGCACAGAGATCTTTCTCTTCTTGAACTTCGGTTTAAACACAAAACAGCCCTATGAAAGAAAGAAAAAAAGCATAAAGTCAGAATAGCCATGGAATCCCTGGCCCGCCGTGCTGGCCCCATCCCCAGGGCACGCTGACACAGCCATTGAGATTGGGCATGGTGGCATGCAACTGTAATCCCAGCATTCGGGAGGCTGAAAACAGGAGGATCACTATCTGATCTGTGTCGTATGACCCTGCAGACCCTATACTAAATACAAAAAAAAAAAAAAAAAAAAGACAGGGGAATAAGCAAACAAAGATTATTAACCAAATAGTTTATGAATAGATTTTTTTAAGGAGAGGTGGAGAGATGTTTCTTTCAGGTCCTAAGAAATCACATTACAAAATCTTAAAATTACTACCTATTTCTTTCCCTTCTTCCCATGGGATGCTTTTACAGACCTTTAGTTTTACTATGGGACCTGCTGCTACAGGTAAAAAAAATAAAAGCTTATGCAATTCAATTTCATTAAGGTTCCATTTTTATAAAACTCAGGAGAAATAACATTAATGCTATATATTAAAAATGAAGACCAAGAAGTGACAATAGTGACTTTTTTATGTAGTAGCACAGGGTCTACAGGGTCTTACTATTTAGATGGACTCCTAGTGATTCTCCTATTTTCAGCCTCCCAAACGCTGGGATTACAGGCATGCACCATCACGCCCAGTCTCACTCACCTGTCTCAGCACACCCCAGAGGCAGGGCTGGCACCCAGGGGACTGAACCTTGGCCCCTCAGCTCTGCCTAAGCAGGCGTGTTAGTCCACTGAGCTATCTGGCCAGCCCTAGTTGTGCCATTATTCAATTCCTACAAAAGTATTAATTAAACTCTAAGCATTTTGAAGGATCTTGACAGGAAACATAATTTAGGCTACAGTTTCACCCTACATTTTCACTCAACTGATAAGCTCTTATTCATTTACCCAATAAAACTGGACTGAAATTTCAGATTTTTTGGGAAATCTTCCCCAATGCTCTTTTCTTTGAGATCTCTTTATTTCCCTTTGTTTTAAATCACTGTCATAGTATTACTGTATCACAGATTGGTCTCGCCAAGTACATTGTGGGCAACTTCAGAATACAGACTGTATTTTATTTATAAATGTTTCCCCAATATTTAGGACAATGCTAACACATACACTTGGCAATCAGTATGCAGAATGAATGAATGCTTATCAAGTAACTTCCTTGGCAATTTCTTGGCCACATTTAGTTTTGGTTATTGGTCCTAGTGTATTCTACCAAACTTAGAGCGATACTCTATGGATAGCTTCTTAAAGATTTCCATAATACAGAAGATTAAAAAAAATACAAATATAAAGTCATCTCAGTATAGTGTTAATATATAAAGTACCCCTTTAGATTATACTTTCCAAGTTAAGAATTCTGCCTTATAATTTTATATGTACAACTAGCGACACAATGTGATATCCACATATATGTTTATTAAAAACCATGTGGTACCCTGACAAACTTTTCACTCACTCTTTTCCATATAAACCAGAAATTCAGTAAAGAAAGGGAGCAAGATAGAGCTCCCAGAACGATCTGCATAAGGCAGCAATAGCAGCATGAATATAACCACTTTGAACTGTGTACCGGGTGATGGTGGCTGAGATGAAGGGAGACATCAAGGAGGCCAGCCAACTTATGAATGGTTGTTAAAGGCTCTTACTATTGTACACTATATTTCATAATCTCACAATACAGGCATTTATGTGCTAACATCAAAAATATTTTCCTGAGGAACAGCAATCTAATTTTCTGCAAGATACATAAAAAAAGAGATGTTTTGTAACAATAGGATTATGACACAGGCCACTCAAAACTTAGGAATTTTATAACCAGAAAAACAAAAACAGTATGAATCCCAACAAAAACACAAGTACAGTTAAACCTCTTATGGCATTTTCTCCAAGCATTACTGACAGTCTTCAATGCTTCAAAATTTTAAACCCTAGGATTATACTTAACTCTGAGATGTAGTTTTGGCAAAAACTGCTTCTCATAGGCCATTTTAAACAAAATCAAGAATTAAATCTTTAGTTTAGCTTTCACCAATCCATTACTGGAGCACAGGGAGAAAAAAAGTCTTTACAAATTCTGCATTTCCAGACAACTTAACTTCAAGGACATCCTACTGTCTTTAAAGACAAATTTACGTGACCCAGAACAGTACTGTCCAAAAAAACAATGTCACCCGCAAAGTAGTGATGGTTTTATGTGATGGTGTGAAATGTGCCTAGTGCAACTGAAGAACTGGATTTTAAAGTTTAATTTTATTGTAATTCAAATTTAAATAGCCACGTGTGGCTAGTGGATACTAGTCTTGGCAATAAAACTTTAGGATTTATTTTCATAGTCTCATCATGTAGTTGAAGCTGGCTCTGAACTCATTATGTACCCCAGGCTGGCCTCGAATGTGTGGCAAACCTTCTGCCTCAGCCTTCTGAGTGCTGGGATTATAGGCATTAGCCATCCTGCCCAGCAATTTTCTTACCACTTATACTCTGACTTGCAATCCCTTGCCAGCTAACCAGCTCATACAAACAGGGCTGAGATACTTTTATATTTATTTATCCTAATGTTCCTATTCCTTCCTTACCCTCTGATTATACTGACTTTTCAGTATCTTTAATATGCCACTTTATGTAGATCTTCTAAGGCAAACAACATGTTATCCTCTCTGCTCTCCCTCACCCAATCCTGTGTCTGAAAAACCTGAATTCATTTTTCAGGTCTCAGGCAAAATGTCACTTTCTCCAAAAAGGCTTCGCTGATGCCTAACAATGTATATTAGGTTCCTCCCCCTCTTCTTTTTCTCTTACTTCTTCTAGTTTTCTTCCTTGTTCACATACGTCAAAATTTATGAACATCCGCTTATTAATCTCTTTCTTACCGGAAATCTCTATTTGGGTACCTAACGGAGTGCTTGACATACATTAAAAGTTAGGAAAAGTAGGGGAGACTGGGGGCACATCTTGGGAGCATCAGACCGCCGCAAACTGCAATCCAAAAGTCCTAGCGGCGCCACAAGACAGATCTGCAACCTCGCTTCCCAAATAAAATCGGCCTCAGTTGGAACTGAGGCAAAGAAGCCTGAGGTCTGCCCGCTGCTCCTTCCCTTCGAGCCAGGAAGTCCAGACCGACGTAACCTTGGCTTCATCCGGTCTTCAAAGAGGAATAGGGGGGGAACGGTGGGACCCCAGTAAGCGCCAATCCACGTACCTTGGACACCGAAGAGGTGGCCATGGTCCCATAAGCCGAGAGGATTCCGGATGCACTCGGGATTTCCCGCGCACCCTCGCGACAGGAGGTCAAAGGTTAGCGGCGAGCCATGCGGCCCGGTGATTGGCTGTCGTCACCCTCTCAGGCGGGGCTTCCGGTGCGCGGAGGCGGGGCTAAGGGGGTGGAGTTAGGCGCTCTTCCCCTGGCGTTCAGAGCGCGATATGGCGTGCGGTTTTCGTAGGTCCATTGCCAGTCAGGTACGGATATCAGAGTGGGCGGCAGGAAGACATCCCAAAGTCAAAGACTCCAGACCCCTTTGGCCTCTGCGTGCCGGTCCTCACTTATCCTGGGAGCGCGTTCTGTGGAGTCCAGTTGGTGTTTTGCGATGTCCTCGCTCTTTGGAGTGGGGAGCCTGTGGAGGACTGGCACTTACTAGGGTCTGATAGTGCGGTGGAGATCGCTTTCTCAGGGTAAAATGTAAATCTTGAAAGGCACGCGTTGCTTCTTTCTTCAGTCCTCTGCCCACAGTTTTGGATTCTTTACTGTATTTTGGGCTGAATGTCTTTGGCATATGATTGGAACCCTACGTTCCTAACACGTGAAGTTGGTAATGAATCTAAATTGCCATCGCAAAGGCTCCAGCTTGGAAGCTGATTAAATCTTGCAATTTCCTCGGCAGCCCGTGAAATTGTAGAATGAATCTGGAATTGATAAAGAGAATTTTTAAAGTTCACTGCCCACCTGTGGGATTTTACCAGGACAATATATTATGGTCTTGGCAAACCAATTTCCTTCTTATGACACTATTAGTGGACATATTGTACCTGGCATATAATTTACATTCGTTCATTTTTATTTCTAGCATATGTTGGAGAATTCCCCTGCCTTGTCTTTATGCCTACGGATGTGCTGCAGTAGGAAGTGCTAACTCCCCAAATACCACCAACATCTCGTTTGAATAAGATAGAGCTGATTTTATTGCTTACCAGGGTCAGGGAAAACACCACTATGTTAGATAGTGTTTGGTAGTGTTTCAGGTTAGATGAGTTAGGTCAGATTGAGAATTTGAAATAGGCTGTAAGGCTGATCTTTTTCTACCATAGAGGGAAAGGGGGTTAGGGTGGATGCTTGACTAGGATTGAACACCTTTTTTGATGTAACAGTTTATTATTGGTGGGTAGAAAAGAAAAAGGAGAGGAGTCCAAGGAGTTCTGAGGCATAAATTCTGATGCTTTCTATTAAAGGTTTTTAATGAAGTTCCTATAATGATCAAATTATTTGGGCAGGATTTTCCAAGGATTGTGAAGTTATGCTAATAAGGACAAAGAACTAACATCTTCGGGTCACTATAGACAGTAAACTGTGTCTGAGGTAGATAGTTTTGGGCCTTAGTGTCCATAGATGGTTTCCATTTTGAGTCTTCAGGGCAAGATAATGCCATAATCATTAACATACTTGTACAGAATGTAAGAGGAGTATATATTTATTGAGCATATATTTGTGCTACTTTACATTCACACTTGGCTCCATGGCAAACCTTTAGTTCACATAGTTACGTTATGTAATTAAGCAAATTGAGATCCAGAGAGTTTGACTTAACCAAGTCATATAATCAATAATTTGAAGAGTTTTTATTTTTAAAAATCAGCTCTTTCTTATCCATTTAGTTTGTGTATTTATGTGTGGTACTGGGGTTCAAACTCAGGGTCTTGTGCTTGCCAGGCAGGTGCTTAAATGGCTGCTATATTCCTAGCCCATATGCTGTTTAGTTTGTGAAGGCAAGATATGCAATCTGACTGGTAAAAATCGTGGATTTATATAGCAATATAAATAATTTTTTAAATATGGAAGCATTATGTGATTTTGTAAAACTTGAAGATAAATAGACATACATACAATACTTGATATTTTTACAAGTGAGGATTGCTTTCTTAGAAATGAAGGGTAAAAATGCAATAGCACATGTGTTTAGCAAACTTTGAATTCTATAGTGTTAATGGTTTGTGTCTGGTTGTTCCCCCCAAAGCCTCATGCAGTGATGGGGCAGACTTCTAGAGTTGGTGATTAATTCATGATCCAATGCTGAGATTACCAGTGTGAGTGTTGCTGGGATTATAGGTGAGTGCTATGCCCATGGATAGCCTGAACGCCATATAAGGAAGGGAGAGAGGCTTACCTCCACTGCTCTGCTGTTTCTTCTCCCTATTTGCTCTTGCTATTTTACTGTTTTCTACTGTGGTGAACTGCTGCCCTCTGCCATGTGCCACTCTGCCTTGGAGCCAGCCAAGTATGGACTGAAACCTCCACAAACTGGGAGCTAAATAACCCTTCCCTTCCTTAATTTTGGGCATCAGGTGTTTTGTCCCAGCAACAAGAGAAAAGAAACCAAGACATAGTTTTCTAAATATTGTCCCACATGGCAGGACAATGCCTATAATCCTAGCACTTATGAGGTTGAGACAAAAAGATCCCTGAAAGTTTGAGGCCAGCCTGAATTAGAGTGAGACCCTGACTCAAAATAAAAATAAATTCAGCCAGTACATCGAAATTATTTTTAAATTTTAATTTTGAAGGAATTAGAGAAAAATTGTGTAATAGTACTGAGAACTCCATATCCCTTTTTATCTAAATACATGAAGTGCTGACATGTTGCCACATTTGCTTCATCATTCTATGTCTTGGTAGTTTTTTCCTCTTGTTTGAGTGGAAGATTCACATGTCGTGCTCCTTTTCCTCTTAATACATTATCTTTTTTTCTTAAGTCAGGGAATTTTATTTGTAATCCCCTGGAAAACTCATTGGAATTCTATCACATTAATCCCAGTCTAGCACAGTGCAACCCACAGTGTAAATGAAGACAATAATATATCCAAAATGGTGAGGTGTCAGGGGGTCCTAAGTGCAGTTATGATAATGGCTAACCTGAACAAAGGCCTTGACCCAGGGCCGAACCCCGGTTTTATTAATTTGTGAAGAGGGGAGTGGCTTGAGAATGAGTGACAGAAAATGGTGGGAAGTACATGAGTTCTGTGAATTGGGCTTGGTAGGTGGCCCAAATCACCTCTGCAGTATGCAGAGAGAAGGATATGCACAAGAGTGATCTATCTGCATAACACAGCTGGGGTAGTATGTGATGTTTTAGGGTCCGTGCTTCAGCTCTGATGTATAATCTTTTGTGCCTTGGGAAGTCAGAGCCTCTGTTGTCTCATGGCGCAGACAGCATGGAACACAATTCTCCATCCTGGCTTGGCTCACACGTGGTTTTTGGGGAGCCAGTGGGGCAGGGAAACTGCCCTGTGGCCTTGCTTCAAAGACCACACGTCAGCACCTTAGCTAGACCAATTCGCGATGTTAAAGCAAGTTAAAGGGATAAAGGAAAGCCCTAGCCAGTTCAGTATGTGTCAGTATGTGGAAATAGGGCCAGAGTTAGCTGAAATAGAGATAAAGGAGAATTGTCCAGGTGGTCCTCCACACCTAAGACCAAGGCTTATTTTACATATGTACAGTACAGTTATAAAGCTCACATAACACTGATATAATACTTAATTCTATAGTGTTAATAATTCTTAATTTGTGGATTTTTTTCCAATATAAGATTGCACATTGCATTTAGTTGTTATGTAACTTGTACATTTTAAGTGGCTTTGAGATAACTTACTTATGCCTACAGAAGTTAATACAGGTGATACAGTGCTAAGAATGACTAGAAAGAAAGGCCTCAACTCTGCTGGTGAGTTTCAGTTGTAGCCTCAGGAATCAATTGGCCATGTGTAGTGGTGTGCACCTGTAATCCCAGGACCCTGGGAGACTGAGGCGAGAGAATCACAAGTTTGAGCTCAGCTTGGAAAACTTTGTAAGACCCTTTCTCCAAATTAGAAATAAAAGGGACAGAGATGTAGTTTAGTGTAAAGGCTATGGTTTTTGTCTTTTTTTTTTTTTTTAAATGTATTTAGAATAGGGTCCACAGGGTCTCATGATGTAGATCAGATTCTTAGTGATTCTCCTGTTTTCAGCCTTCCAAGAGCTGGGATTACAGGCACGTACCACCCCTTGTTGTACGTTATGGGTCGTTGCCGAAAGAAACGATGAGAAGACCTGATGAATGTAGCTTCAGAGGTCTCACTGAGATTAGTCTCTCTCCAAGTGAGCCCAGAGCCTCAGAAGCATCTCACATTTATTTAGGGCTAAAAGCAGGCTAAGGAATATGCATAATTACTTAAGTGAATACAAACTACTATTGACTTCCACCATTTGTGTAACTCTAGGTCCACACAAATGCTAGCTGATAACATTCCAAGCAAGGGATTAAAGAACAGGGCGCCTGGGCTGGTGAGATGGCTCAGTGGTCTAAAGCACCTACTTAGAACAAGCTTAGCTAACGCACAGGGACTGCGGTTCAATCCCCCAGCACCACATGCCAGCCAGCCCCGCCCCCTGGTGGGCTGAGCTGGCCACACACACACACACAAATATAAATAAATAAATAGAATTAAAAAAAAAATAAAGAACAGGGCACCTGCAGGAGAAGCTGTTATCTGTAGCCTTAAATCCCAGTTTGCTGGGAATTTACAAGTGACAGACAGTAGCTCTCCTCGGGCTCTGTCTATTGTTCCCTGCTCTCTTGGGACATTAGGCTTTTGTCTCAAATCTGTTTCTATACTCCCAGTCGTAATTGCTATCTCAGTGCGTGGGGCCGTCATGGTAGGCCAGGGATTGAACCCCAGCCACTGCCTAAGCAGGCGCTTTAGTCCACTGAGCTATCAAGCTAGCCCTTTAAAGGTTGTGTTTTCAATACCTAGTACCACAAGAAAGCAACATAATTAAATTTGCTAACCTCTAAGATAAAATATTTTTGTTGGAGTGGTACCCACATTCAAGTGAACACAGGATTGACTGAATTGTCTAGGTGTGTACCTTGCTTCTTACTTATTGCTGTGGTTTGGATGGTCCATAAGTAAAGGTTGAATCCTCAGGGTAACAGTGTTAGGAGGTGCTGTGGACTTCCAGGAGGAGAAGCCTAGTAGAAAGTGCTTAGATTTGGGGCTTTTCCCCAAAGGCAATGGTGGGACACCAGTTGGCCCTCTCTTTCCCACCCTTGCTCCATCCTGCACTGTCCACATTTTATGCTGCCCTCACCAGAGGCTCAAGCCAATAGGCTTGTCCAATCTTGGACGTGAACCTACACAAGCCAACACAAGCCTTATTTTCCAACTTGTATCAGTTTTTTAGTGATGTGAAGCTCACTAACAGAATGCAC